TTTTCACCTACAGGGAATTAAAGTCCAGCAATATAAATGACTCGTTTGAGCTAAGGGGCACATACAGAAGCAAACTCAGAGAGAAGAAAAAAAAATGCATCATAACATTTTAAGGGAATGTAATGGCATTTTACAGTCTCAATGTATATTGCAGCCCCTGAAAAAGATTTTTGGCCGTAGGTCCCATCAGGAAAAGATGGGTCTGATGCCAGATGTCTGTTTTATTACCTTGGCTAGTAGCCAGTGACTCACTATAAAAAGACTTATTGTTAAGAGGAACGAAGACTATTGTTTGATGTAGCTATTGCAATCAAGAGATTTTATTTCATTTTATATGTCTGTGAGTCTGTGTACCGTACACCAATACTTGGTAAAACCTCCTCTGCCATTAAAGTTGTGGAGATGACAATTATGCCTCAGGCAAAATCGAATGTATGCATCCTGAAGCCTCTTGCAGCTGTTGGCAGTTGTCCAACATGGAAGCGAATGACTCACCTCTCTGAAAGGTCCTCACATAACAGCCAACATTCCCCTATACTCCTAATTAAAACCTAAATGCACACTATGCCGGCTGGGCCAAAAAGGCTTTTATTCTAAGACGCAAAAGGGTGTTGCAGATATGTACATTTTCAGCCAGAACTGGGAAATGCCAAACAATGATCAGTGCATAGAGTATAAAAGCAAACCTTTCTTGATTGATCCTCATCTTAAATGGACTACTTCTCATATAAGAGAGAGAAAATGCCTTGACGTTTTGTATATTAGTGGATGCTCCTTCATTGAGGACCAAAACAATGGCAGAAAAAGTGTTGGTGATGCTGAGGAAAAACATCACAGCCACTTCTAAAAAGAAACAGGAAATGAAGATACATCCAAGTTCATTCATTCATTCATTTTCCGAACCGCTTTATCCTCACTAGGGTCGCGGGGGGTGCTGGAGCCGATCCCAGCTGTCTTTGGGCAGTAGGCGGGGGACACCCTGAACCGGTTGCTAGCCACTCGCAGGGCACACAGAGACGAACAACCACCACGCCCACACTCACACCTAGGGACAATTTTGAGTGTTCCATCAGCCTGCCATGCATGTTTTTGGAATGCGGGAGGAAACCGGAGTACCCGGAGAAAACCCACGCAGGCCCGGGGAGAACATGCAAACACCACAGAGGGAGGTCGGAGCTGGAATTGAACCCGGTACCTCTGCACTGTGAAGTCGACATGCTAACCACTGGACTACCGGGGCGCCGACAGCCAAGTTGTCAACCGATTTTCAACTACTTCAGAGGTCAATTGAATGTTGAACACTATCTGAGGCAATTTGAAAGTCAGTTGCCATTTTATATGCGTTGCACTTACCTGCTCTCACTTGGCAAACATCCGTAGCTGAGGTGATTTACAAGTTAGGAGAATTGCTCGGGTTTCAACAGAAGACCCTAGAATATTGAGTACTCAGTCCGATACAGTGCAAAGGGATCAGTTAGGGATGTGAACAGTAAGTGCGAATTGGGCATGCTCCGCAGTTAGAGGTGCTCTAAGAAATCAAGTGTCAAGAGATCATTGAATATAGAGTACACTCACACTCTAATAGCATTTGGCGGCTTGACTGCTGTTCCTTCTTCCGCCCCTGGCATCTGTGTGAACACTCAACTTTTTCCACTGGGCACGTGTGATTGCAGTGGCCATATTGGACGCAACATTTTCAACGGAATTATTCATATTATATGGACTCATTTTTTAAAAAAAGCACCATGATGGACTATACTGTAGGTCCAGAGACTCCAGACGGTAGAGAGTGCAAAGACTCACCCCAGGCACAATAAGTATGCCACTATTTTTCCGGACAAAGCTTCAACTGCACTTTGTACTTCGGTACAACACTGACACGGTCAATGAATGAAAGTTCATGAACTTGTTCGTATTTTGGGTGAGCCTGGACTGAACGGATTGTATTTTGTGCTTTGTGAACGTTTCTGTGAACGAGCTCATTCTGGGGCCAATTGACGTCTTTTGAACAGCAGTTCCGTTTTATTCAAGAGTGCCATGTTTTCTCGAAATGCGGCTGAACACCCTGTAAATGAGCCTTAATTAGGTGTAAGAAGACGTTATTTGACCATAAACCGTCACACGGTTGGTTTTGCAGTATGTTGTCGGAGACCTGCAGCCTTTGAGTAAAGTGGCATCCTCGGCTTTTATTGAATTAATTAAAAGGGATTCCAGCCTGGTTCTCTAGCCAAACAAGTCATGAAATAAGACATTCCCAAAGTGTTGTAAAGGGATTTAAAGAAAATGTAAGATCATGTTAAGTGATTTGCATGTTGAATAGTCCACTTTGAGGTACATTCTTCGTTTCCTAACCTCAGCCTGGTTCCTATAGCAGATTATGTTGTTTGTTTGCACATTGAGTACCACAGTCCTGTTTTTGTTGTAATTCATAATAAGACAATGTAAGCAATGAGGTATTCCTCCTGTTTTTGAGATTATAGACTGAGAGCGCCACCTGGATACTACTGTGGACAGAACTGGTGGAAACAATGGGGGAAAGCCAGTATGCCAGAGGGTAACAGCTCGCAGAAACACATTGGAGGAAAGAAAAATAAAATCATAATTTATTTGGCAGAGAATAAAAGGGGGGTGACCCGGTGGCCCAATGGTTAGCGCGTCGACCTCACAGTGCAGAGGTACCGGGTTCAATTCCATAAAGCGGATCGGAAAATGAATGAATGAATAAAGGGGAAAAAATTACCTTATAGATATAATTTTGTTTCCCGGTCTTTTTTTTTCTCTCTCTAACATAGGCACTTTAGAAAATTGTTACCTTTTTAAAATGTCGTTTTTCATGTTAAGAACAAATTTGAAAAATGTCAAAATGGTCATATTAATAATATTTTAAATTTGAACGGTTGACCCAAGGAGGCAAACATTGCACTTTGAAATCGTACAATAAAGCAGGTTGAATTTTACTTTCAGCATGCACAAGAGTATTTTTCTATATGTCTTTTTGTGTTGTGGGGACTCCAGTGTTGTATTCAGAGTGTTTTATGACTAGGCCTGTATAACGGGACAACTTCACCTTCGAAAAGTGTGTGTTTATTCATGCTAAATGCAGATGTGGAGAGGTTCTTTGAGTTGAACAGCGATAGGCAAGAAGAAGTGTTTATTGTCTCAGTAACAGCAGCTCAGGTGATTTTTATGGCTCCTACGGATTACAGCCGGGATTCGCTAGCAATGTAAAAGCTAATCAGACACGGTAAGAGATGTTGAGGAGATAAAGGTTGGAAGTGCATTGCCAAGTACAGTTGTAGAGCAAGCAGGAAAGGCTGATTGCTTCAAGCAAACACATTGGTATCGATTTCACCACTTACAGCCTTGACTTTTACGCTTCCATTAATTGGAGAAAACAAGCCCACAATGTCCTCTCCTCTCAACAATTTCAACAAAGGAATCCCAGATAACGACACGCACAGACTTAACTTATTTTACATCTGCGTATTTACTTTTCATTACTTCTTCGAAAGGAGATGTGCAAAGTTCAGACGTAGACAAAAAGGTTATTTCCAACTAATCTTCCAATTTAAGCAGCAAACAAACAAAGCCAGATTGGACTGCTGATGGCTTTGTGACTCTTGACCAACACTCGATACAGACGGAATGGGGATTCAAATTTGTTTTAAGTAGATCCCTTTGAGTTTTAGAAAATAATCCCAAAACGGAATATTTAATAATCGCTGTCCTTCAGTACAATTATGAAAGAGAGCGGTGATTTTCACATGAGGGACTTTGAAAAGCCTCTGGGGACTTGTACTGGTATAATACTGGAACAAAGAACTAACAATAGGACGGATGAAGTCATTCATCATTTTCCATAAAAGGAAACGCTGCTCTTTAATAACGGACCGTCTGACTCGAACGACATATTACTTCTCGTCTTATATTTAAAATGATACCATACCGTATGTTATTGTGTGTGTCTGTGATTGTTCTCATTCTGATTACCGTTTTGTTTTCCTTTGTCCATTATTCTGTTATGTACTTTGTGTTTTTGTGTGTGATGTGCCTTATTCGCACTCCAGTACAGTACTCTGCTTTCAAATGAATGTTATATAAGCACTACTGCGGAAAAAGGTCTTGGGCACCATTAGGGATGTTGTTACATGAATTCTGGAAGGTCCATATAATGATTTCGCTGGCTAAAATAGAAGAATATCATAACAAACATATAATATGCATACGTTTGTAGCATGCAATGAAATGTATAGTCCCAAAGGTTCATAAGGCTATGTGTGGCAAAGTAAAGTGTTATCTACTGGAGAAAAAAAAAAAGACATATAATTAAGGCAAAAAAAAAAAAAATGTAAATTAAGGCAAAACAATTGGAAAACAAATTTCACAGTAACGGGAAATTTGAGGCATCGATTGCTGCAAAAACCTCAAAGACCGCAGTGAAAAAGATGAGTGTAACAACAAAGCTAGTGGCAGCTGAAGACTTGCAGTGAATATGATTCTATTCTACACATATTGCATGTCATAATGTGGAGGTGAGTATAATAGTTCATTCATTTTTATGCGTTATATCTGCGGATACATTCAACCTCTGTGCCATTCAACTGATATAAGTCCGACCTCACTTGCAGGTAAACTTAAATACCCTCTATGTAGGAATCAGCTAAGTGGTAATATAATAAGCACTCTCTTCTAAATGGAGCCTTGATTCCATTTAAAAGAGGGCAGAACGTATGTGTGCACCCTTGCTCGAGGCTTTCATCTTGCATATAAATCATTCTAAGTTGAAAGTTGGTGTTTGAGCAGCACATATTTCAGGTCTCAGGGCGTGCTCCATATCACCAGCCAAGACTGCATTAATGACAGTGCAGTGCCATGAGCAAACGAAGCCAATTTCAAATATTCTCGGAGCGGATAAAATGTTGAAATGGAGGCTTTCCGACTGATTTAGAGAGCTCACGCGTGTGCCAATCTCCTTTTTTGCACTTTCTCTGCACTTGTAGATTCCGCTGCAGTTGAGAGCCCTGACGTACACTTGTGAGCCGTCAGTGCTGGACTACTGCCGCGCTCACCTGCACGTCGACCTGGAGCCCCACATTCCGGAGATGGATGGTCTGAGGCCAAGCAGGTACCAACGGGGCCCAATGTCCGCCCTTCCCCCATACCGATTCCCTCCACCAGTGAGCAGCACACATTATTAAATAGTCGACGGACTTTTTCAAACAAAAACGCAGACTGTGTTGAAGGGAAGTGGTGGAAATGGTGAAGAAGCAACGGAGACAGTCGATCTTCTGGAGAGCATTCAGGATGCAGGGTAATGAGAATGACATATTTCTCTGTGGGAATACAGTGTAAGGGTGCAGTCGTATTGATTGACGAGCTTCTGACCCGCCGAAGCCTCGATATCCTCAATTAGCCAAGGAGGCTGAACAGCAGCTTGACTCTCAATGTTCCGCTCTGCTTGTTGAGGAGTTTGAGAGGTAATACATGGATGATTTGTTAATCCTATTAAGCATTCTGTATTTTCATCCCTTCTCCTCGTCTGGGTACCTTTGCTGTGTCGGGTAAAATAATCTAATGGAAAAAGTTATCAACGGAGCAAGGAAACTGAAGGAAGGACTGCCGATTCCAAGTTTTCTGCTGCTTATTTTTTTTTTGGAGGGGGGGGGGATATTATTCTGATTACTATTGCCAGTCCGATGTCCCTGTAGAATTTTCATTTGTACTGAACTAACCAACTCAAGTGAGTATAGAAGTGATAGAGCACACACAAAAAGTCGACATCCACACACCCTGCCAGAAAATGGAATACGGATTTTTGATTTTCTTCATGATTTGTGAAGTCCATTGCATTATGATTAACTGCGCAGAGACATAAGCATATAAAAAATGAACAGTAAGGCCAGATCTTGTCTCATTTGAACACGTATAGTATATTGAGCCAGCTTTTCATCATCCATATAATGCATTCCTGTATGAAATGTTTATTTTTCCTGCTCAGATGTGCTCTTATCGTGTTCTCAAATATCTACATGCGTGAACTTTTTACAGGATGTTACATATTATATGGAAAATAAACTGTGGTAAATCACTTGCTTTCGTGTTCTGTCATTTTGATCCGTGGCGTGAACTCAAACGGTCTTCTTTTTGGACTGTTGTCGACATGATTGACACTGCAGAGCATCACTTGAACATCTAAAGGGCACCCGTTCTGCTTCTAAAGTTCATGTGTGGTAAGGACACTCCTCGGCCACCGCATTAGGTACACCTGCACGATCGGATGAGACGCAATACAAGGGATGCTTCAGAAATTTACGACTTGCTCAGTTTTGACATTGTCAGGGAGATGATTTATGAAAATGGTTTTGCAAGTGTACCTAATGATGTGGCTGGTGAATACACAGAAAGACCTCCGAGTGCCGAGTTTGATTTTTATCAAATCAAACACAAATTATTGTCTTGGATATGAATCGGCATCAACGCCATGTTCTTCCTTTCCAGATATAGCCACAATTAGACACTTCAATTCCCTTGATCAGGAGAGGTTGTCTCCAACCTGAGGCCCTGGACTATCTTCAAGTGTCCTTGAGCAAGCTATTGAACCCCCAGTTGCACTAGATCAGGGGTCACCAACCATTTTGAGAGTGAGAGCAACTTCATGTGTCCTGATTGTGTGAAGAGCTACCAAATTGATACACATCTGAAATAACATTTGTACAAATTACATTTAAATATATTAGAATGTGTTATTTTTAATACTTAATGATTTTCATTTTCAGGCTCTGATCATCTTAAAGATGTCTCACAATACTGCCCGTGTTTGCATTTTTAAATCATAATTTCTACTAGCATATCACAACTCTAGCACTGGCGGGCTATTGGTGTGGTCCTCACGGGCACCACATTGGTGACCCCTGCACTAGATGCTACACCAGGGGTGTCAAACTCAGGTCCTGTAGGGCCACTGTCCTGCATGTTTTCCATCTCTCCCTATTGCAACGCACCTGATTCAAATGAACAGGTTCAATATCAGGCTTCTGCAGAGCTTGCTGATGATCTGATCATTTGAATCAGGTGTGTTGCAACAGGGAGACTTGGAAAACATGCAGGACAGCGGCCCTCCAGGACCTGAGTTTGACACCCGTGTGCTACACCATCAGACAAGGCGACGTTAAATTGTGGATATATGTCTTTTCTTATTCATGAGATTTTTTTTTCCAAGCAGCATTTATTAGATGTTTTTATTTATTTTATTTTATTATTATAGTTTTTTTTTTCTTGTCCAGGCAGTAACACACCAAGCATCCCAAGCCATGGGCGTTTCCAAGTGTGTGTGTGTGTGTGTGTGTGTGTGTGTGTGTGTGTGTGTGTGTGTGTGGTTGGGATTGGGATTGGATTGATACTCTGCATTTAAGGAATTAGGAGGGTCGTGTAATTTTATTTAGTTGTTCGCCAAACACAAAATCAAGGAATTGGAGTGCAAGGATCGTGATTTACTGTTGCAACTGGAGCTTCACGAGTTAGCATGCCGCAGATCATTGGCTAAGCAATGCATTATGTTCAGTCGCTGATGGTGTATTGGTACACTCGCCTGATTTGTGAGCGGGCAGTGTGGGATCAGTTCCCACTCAGTGACGGTGTGAATGGTCATTTGTCTCGATATGTGCCCTGTGATTGACAGGCGACCAGTTCATGGTGTAGTCTGCCTTCCGCCCGAAGTCAACTGGGATAGGCTACCGCAGTTCACACGACCCTGTTCAGGATAAGCGGTGTTGAAAATGGATGCATGGATGCATTATGTTTCAGTCAATGGTGGTCAGTGGAACTAAAGAGGGAATAAAAAGGTTTTTTGTTTTCTTTGCGGCATATTTTCTCAATTGACATTCCCGAGGTTCAATCATTTATGTTCAAATAGATGTTAACTTTTGATGATGTGCGTTCCTAAGGACCTGCATTTCCAGAGTAGAATGTGGCCATGTGCAAATATAAAAATAACGGGATTTCTCCTTCTCTCCTCATGCTATTTGGTAAATCCATAAAAATACATTTCCATGCCTTCATTCATCGTGTTCAAATGCAAACTAGTATCTCGCTGCTCGGTATAAAACCATAAATGGGCCACCAAACAGCATCTACTAATAGCTAAAGTGTTCCGATACATGATAGAATCATGCCGCTTGACGATGTAGTGCTCGGAGGCCAGAGCTAAAGCCGTACACGGCAGTTTGAACAGTTTAACGACACTGATAGATTGCCTGCTGCGCTCACTTCGAGTGTTCAGAAAAGTGTTGGCTGAGAAATCGAGGACAGGGAGAAGCAGCAGATGCTGCATTGAGACTTATGTGTTTAAATGCATTTATGCAGAATGGCTGGTGAGTCATGATACTTGAGTCAATAAGCGCTTCTGGAGCCATTTTGACTTTTAACTAGAAAAATGAGCCGTAATCATCTCCCACAGCTCATTTTTAATCAGCTCTGTGACTCATCGTCAAGATAGTTTCTGTCTGAAGTTTGCCTCAACCGGGCGATGCTGAGAAAAGATTTTACAGGTAAATCAAGAGATGCTGTTACCCGTAGCTGTCAAACTGTGAACCTTGCGCTGTGTCAAGGAATAAACTGCTATGCCTCCTAAGAAGGCTGATGGACTGTCGTTTATGTCCAAGTCTTTCTCAGACTTGAACTTCTGAAGATGAAAGCGTCACAGCATGAGTTATTTTGTTCTTGTTTGTATTGTTTATTCACTTGACATTTTATGTATATTTCTTAAGGTTGGAACGTTCGTGGGAGGCAGACACCAACTATTTTCTTCCTCAGTGGAGCCGTCAAAGGGAGCCAGACATTGTAAACAGTCTCAGATATAAGAGGAAGTTTTCTCATTGTGCTCCATTGATTTCATCTAATGAACTAATTTCGGTGGAGTTTAGGATGCCGTCAAGAGAGCACTTCTGCAACTCTAAGACTCATAAAAGCACATTTTTGCACCCACTATTGTGTACATCTGCACCGAGCCAGACAATCCTGTAAGTCCTGTATTTGAATCAGCACCAAATTGCATGACTCATATATCTTGCATAGGACTGACAATGGCATACCCCATGTGTTAAATTTCAGGATGAATCTAAAATGCACCAAAATCTTTATTGGTTAACTTCATTTGTCCATCTTTAACTTCTGAATGTCCAACTGTTCACTGCTTTAGCATATCTTCTTGCATGCACACTAACTGTTTTCTAACGAGGAACAAAATTCACACCGTGATTGATCCACAAATCGACCAATACATTTCTCAGGACGGCTTTCATTAATTCGGCCAAACCGTCTGAATCGCCATTGCAACCTGCTGATGACATTCTGTGACCCTCTAAGCTCATTGGCCACTTCCGTTTTAAGCTCACACAATGGTGAGGTAAACGACAGTTGACCAGTTGTTGCCTTAATATCATGATGCCAAAATGTGAACAGCCTTATGAGGATGATTTCGATGTTGAGAATTTTACATACCAACTCTTATGGAAGCAAGAGATTCATTGGTCGATTCATGGATCAAACGTCTGTTGGAAATGCAAAAAGTGATGTTGAACAGACGTGCATAAAGAAGAAGAATAAGAAAATCTAACAATGCCTAACTTTTTTTCTTTGTGTGTGTGTGTGTGTGTGTGTGTGTGTGTGTGTGTGTGTGTGTGTGTGTGTGTGTGTGTGTGTGTGTGTGTGCGTGTGTGTGTGTGTGTGTGTGTGTGTGTGTGTGTGTGTGCGTGTGTGTGTGTGTGTGTGTGTGTGTGTGTGTGTGTGTGTGCATACATATGCGCAAATCCATCTAAATTCCATCTCTTTCCGATACCGCTTCTTTTTTTCAGTGTTGCCGGGAGCCGAAGCCTATCGCAGCTGACATCTGCATCACAAGGCAGACGACATGTTTGACTAGTTGAGACCATTCACACACAAGTCAGACCGGCTCTTTGTGAAATTGATATTTCAATTGAGAATCAAAATCAAATTGTGCTCTAATTTTATGATCGTGATGATATAGCTGGAATGTAAGGGAGCTGTATTTTTTTTTTCTTTCTTTCTTTGTTTTTTCGCAGTATTTCCCCTGACATTCACCTTTAGCATCTCACTGGCCTAACGATACTGTATTGCTAAACTGTCTTTCGACTCACTCTCAAGGCAAACGACTTATTTCTTGATGCCTTTCAAGATCAAAGCTATTGTCACTGTGTTAATTGTGCCACTGAATCAGTGCTCTGTTTGTCTCATTAGATGCAGATGTCGAGATGGACTGTCCTCAAAAGGTCGATAAATGTACACCCCCGGAATGCCCAATTAGCATTGCAAGTGACAACCGTTCCTATTTTGACTTGCAATTAAAAACATGAAAGGATATATTGCTCACATGTTTTGTCAGCAATTAACTATTCATTTTGGATAATGTAAATTCTTGCTTTTCAACAGGCTGGATCTTTTCAAAGGTACACTAAAAATAACTAGCAGAGGGTTAACCTAATACTGTATGGATTTAATAAAGTAAGTATGTCTTTTCATTTGGAAACTCTTTTAGTCGTCCACAATCCTGCTGCTTTCTGACACAGACGGACACCTATCCCTGTAACACAGTAGCATCATCAAGTCAAGTCAAGTACATCTTTATTGTCAAATGTGCTGACATACAGCACAGATGAGATTTCATCCTCCCTCTTAAACAGACAACAAGATGCTTTGTCGCCTTAGTTAAGCAGATCCATCCATCCAGTCGGACACATATACAGACAGACAACCATTCACACGTACAGTATATTACCATACTATATCTACAAGGATTTGGGTTTAGCACTCAAACCCAAGATACATATATTTTCCTTCAATCCACAGATTTCCTAAATAGAATAGCGAGGATACAAGGGAAAAGACATTGAACACGCCAAAAGAAGGCTTAACGATGTACATTTGGTAACAGTGCAACAAGGTAAGCATTGTTTCCTTTCGATGGGCGTGAGGAAATATCATTCGAGTCTACTTGTTGGCTGGACCCACAACAATTTCAGCCTGCTGGCTCGGCTCTCGTGGTGAGGAAGAACTGAAGGTAATAGATCATCTTCATG